CTTACTGGGGAGCAGCGCACTTCACCACTACACCAGACCCGGATGGTGTAGTGGTGAAGTGCGCTGCTCCCCAGTAAGGACAACAGCGCGTGTTCGTTCCCCACTGCATACACCTGTGGTCCGGAGTTTTGCAAATATCTCAGCACTTCATACGAGTTATGTTGTTATAGTTTTAAAGGATGAACTGACGTGACGTTGAACTCGCAACAGCCATGCTCTACGAACATTTCATAAAATCATGCCTTTGCTAAAAATCATTTTCGAAGGTGGTCCATGCGAAGGAACGCCCTTTCACAGGCGCTCGTAGAAATAGAAAAAAATGTGTAGAAAAAATGTGAGCAGTGAAATCTGGTGAGCGAGATATTTACAGGTTGTTTTTGACATATTGTCATTCATTCCTGTTTCCAATCAAACTTTCTGCAAAAAGACAAAGAAGAAGTCAGTGAAATTCCTTCAAAATGGTATAAACAGAATTACACAACAATGTTACCTAAGCACCGGGTCATGTCAAAGAAGCTTTACCGATGATAGACATGAAGATGTGGCAGTGAAATGAGATTAATGCTCACCACTATGTAAATGGACAATCGATACAAATCACTGAATAGGAGAATCTGTATTGTGCCAGCGCTAACAAGTCTGTAGTCGCGGACGAAAGGCACGTACTAATAAAGTGAAAAGGACCTCGTCGTACGGATCTGTGACGCTGAACGCGCAACGACTTCACTCCTAGATGGAAACGATCGAGATTTCGGCGATTTTAAATGATTTGCCGGCACGTTCGATGTCCACTTTGCTGGCTCCGATCTAAACAGACACGTGGCAATTTCGTGTCTACATTATGTGAGTTCATCTGTAATCACGCAATTAGTTATGGGTATCCCTTCCTTACTTCACATTCCTTTTCCATCCCAATTTTCTTCCTCTCGTTTCTTTTCTTTTTATTGATTTAGAATTCCCTGCAAAGAATGTTTTGTTGGAATTTGTTTTATAGCCTACTTCGTCTTTTTCACCTCAAAGAATTCGCTTGAAATCCCTTAATTTTGGGTTACGTGATATCTTTGCGACCATGTTATTTTACATGCATGTTATGATTTTTTGCACATGCCATACGCCAGATAGAAATTCTCAAAGAGGAGGTGACAAGCCGAAAATGAAAAGTTGTCTCATTTTTCAAGGTGATGGGAATACTTCATGTCCTAATTGGTAGAATCGGTGGTGAACCGGCCTGGATAGGGCATTTTTGACTTTTTAGAGGATTAGTTACTAAATCTCTTATCGGTGGTTGTAATCGATGCGGGTTTTGCAATAACGTCAGTGAACTGAATTTAACACTTCGAACAAAGACATACCTTGCACATGCGACGAATATGGTATTCGAAAGTGTCAGCACGATGGCATAGATGAGAAACACTGTTCGCCACTCTTCGAAGGTGTCATGTCTGGTGAGGGCCGGCACGAGGAACGAACCGGCGAGCAACGAACAGCACGCCACTATCTACAACGACTGCAATTCAGTGTGCGACCAACGTCGTGCTTCTTAGAGGTTTTCGTCATCGCATATTCGTTTTTTTAATGAAGACGTTTGCTAAAATACCTCGTATAACGATGAATTGCCAGCACCTTAAGGACTTCAGCCATTTTTTTCTAAGGTGACTGAGAAACTAACCCATATGCAGTGTTTTTAAGACCAATTATCTATGAACCCATAATACCTCTTATGGACGTTACAGTGTCTATAGCGAAGTGGACCAAACATAACAAAAGGCCACGCTAACACCACATGAAACACATGAAACCACATGAACAACATAGTGTTCTTATTGGGTTTAGTTGGTTCTAGAGTATTATCCTATAACATTATGTATAGTCACTCGGTTGTTAATCGAAAGTAGACCGACTAGTAGGTGTCAGATCAGAAAAACCACTCTCTCAACTCTAGTGATTTACTGACTAAACTCTAATGATTCACAAAAACCCTTTTCTTCGAAAAGGTTTATTGACCGATAATCTGACTGAAGTCTAACTGTTCTTCGTTTTAATCTCTATGCTTATCGTATGGAAAACGCGAATATAAAAACACCAGAATGGTCTCGACATAAAGTGCAAAGTCCTTCAAAATTCTGATAGCAGTGCATATGCACAGTGAACCTAGGTAGCATGCAGTAAATAGTAACATTCATGTCACATATACCCATAAACGTTTGATAGAGCAAAGTCTCCTCCCTAGTTTCTGCCCTGTCCAGACCTCCTAAAGCGCTCTAATTATTGAAAAATTATTGTTTACTCTCAAAAAACCGGAAAGTCTGCAGCCGATGAAAAATTGCTCACAGTCGGTTAGGCCAACCAGGGAACACTGTAGTGGGGCGTTATGGATTGATAGAACTCGAGCCCCGGATAAATATCGACTCTGTTCCTTTCAACATGTGTTTAGATTCTTGATCTTGCACGAGGTTGATAAATTAGCTTTATTCGGCCAATGTTTCGGCGTCTTCGTCTTCATCAGAGCCGATGGTCTGAGTCGATGGTCCACAGTTGTTTGTCTTCCCGATGCAGTGTCTTCGTCGTCGTACCGAGACGGATCCTCTTCAGTGGAACACAGCGCGAATGAGTATGTTCACCCAGTGGCGCTCTCCTATGCAGAACGGTTGCTTTTGACACGATTATCGGTTGATAGTTACTTGTTTTCCAACGGATAATCCACCTTGCAGCAGCCGGTATTACGTTAGCTAGCACATTCTGAATAGCAAAAAATAGCGAGTAACTTCCTTTCTGTTTTCTAAACTTTGATAGCATTATACGAAAACGAAGCATTTTATACTGTTATAATTTATTAAAGTAGACAAATAGCACAGTGATAGTGATGCCCGTCATCACGAGCATGGTTCTAGTTCGACTCGGCTCCTAGCCAACCACCCCCTCATCCCTACATAGTCAGGATATTGGTACTGAGCTTGTCCGGGAAAAAAAAAATCACTTTCTGCAATCAGTTTGGGGACGCTTCAGTCCACCTACTCAGGACTGCAGGTTGAATCGCTCGACCAACATTTTACGACATTCAAGGTGAAATGAAATTCCTCAAGCAGCAATCGAAGCCACACGTAAAGTTCGAAGATCTTTGTGGACAATGGATGTGAGGAAATGAACTAAATGTGAGAAGTGCTGGAATCCGCACAGAAGCGAAGATGGGTCAAATAAGAAAAATTTAAAAAAGTATAACTTATTAATCATGAACTTTCTCTCGAAAGGATGATGTTTTGAGCATCTCATATTACGAAAGCAGAGGTAGGGGCAAGTCGAGAAATTCCAACCTACGTCAACAACCAAAGGTTATAGACATTACCGCACCAGTGAAGGAGTCGAAAGTCACAAGTGATGCATCTCAATAACAACCGGTTGACAAGATCAGTTAATGACTAGAATCCACGGGATGTCAAGTGCACAACAGGAAAACGATTCGCCGAGCAGATGCTCAGAATTCACGAAGATCTCTATTGAAAAGCATGTTATTTTCTATGTGGGAAAAAGAACATTGTAGGGGAAGAAAACGGAAGGGGTCGCTGACACTGTAAAAATGGTATTGTTTCTTATTCAACTATTTATATGAATATTCCTCTGAATTAATCGTTTGTATTTCTAGGTAGTTCATGACGAAAAGGTAAAGCAAATGAAGAAATGATAGTATCCTCATGGTGTAAGAAGACAAGCCATCCAAGTATTTCTAAGTGTTTATGTGAACGCAGTCAAGAAATAGACTGCAAAAGAGACCATTGCCTAGTTTTTCGACCACTGTGGGAAATTCGAGTGGCCTTCTTATGTTATCTGACCGCTCCAGTTCTCCGGTGACGGTTTAGGCGTCAAGTAATCCGTCACTGCAAAATATGAATGCACGGATGTTATAGCTGAGGATTGACAGGTTTCACCTTACTGTTTGCCATCTTGAGAATTGGTCTTCTACTGTCCTCAGGAATACCAAAATGTTAAGACCCGATTACGCTTCAAAGTGTATGAAATTACCAATGTAAACGAATTCAGTTTGAGTTGTGCAATAGGGGAAGAATAGTAGATAAAGAGGTGGTTTGAAAATCTATATGAGAGAACCAGTCAAAAATGCCGACTGCGCCGGAACTTTGCTTCACCTGTGTTAAGCAGCAGCTCATGTGGGGAGTCTCATTGTGGCTGAAGAGGGGAGTTTTATTGAGCGGCAAACCAAATATAGTAGGGTTCCATTCTCTGCAGTACCTTTCAAACTAAGAAGAGATATGTATTCTTTCTTTGAAGAGCTTACACGAGGTTGATAATGATGTTTATTTTCGGCTAACGTTTCGACGTCTTCGTCTTCCTCAGAGCCCATGATCCGAGTCGATGGTTCACGCTTGTTATTCGTCTCGACGTGGCAGTTTCGCCTTTGTGTCGAGTCAGGTCTTCCTCAGTGAGCCATCTCCTCGAATGAGGCATCCTCACTCAGTGATGTCCTTTTATACACGATATAAGAAATATAAGAAGAGATACTTGCATAGTGAAAACCCATTCTAGAGAAAACCAGAGCCAGAAATTAACGCATTCCTGGTAAAAACCTTATCGACAATCTATTTTCTATTCAAAAGAGTTAGTGATATCCTGTGGTGACCGCTTGGGAAGACTGGGATATTTCTAGACTCCAGAGGTAAAATGTGCTGATTGACCAGCAGTTAAGCAGTCAACCTTTTTGTGGCTGCACGATTCGTTGTGATGATGGTCCATTCAAATATTCAACTATGCAAGAGATATCAGTGCCGTTTTAAAAGTTGTGCTGAGGACTATGTTCAACCGTTAAGCTTTTAACTTCAATATGAAATACTCCAATATATTCGTATATTTATATCTATGTAGGAAATCCTGGAAGCGTCTAAACGCTTTCCTTGAAGTGCAATATCACAATGAAAACTTCATTGTTTTTTCATCATATAGGCAACTAAATTATGTCGGAAAATCGCCGAATGTAACCACATCATTTTAAATCTAATTTATTATTATGTCATATAAATACAGTGGTTGGAGGCGTCACTGCGACACAAACGTGGAATCGATCCCCGCGCCCATGGCCCACCAAGCCTTCCATACCTTCGCGGTCGGCAAACTGGTACCAGACTTGTTTGGGAGGAAAGCAGCACTGGCTCGATACATCGGTAGGCCACGACAAGTCATTTTAAAGGCCAGATATGCATTCAATAACCTCCAAGGATAATGAAGTCGAATGCATGGAGCATCCCTCAGGATTGCTCAACGCCGAGAACTTTATCTTTTATTTAAATAGAGAAGGATGGTCGTGCATAAAAAAGGATAAAGCTCTTGGTCTTGATCAATCCCTGAGGGATGCGTCATACATTCGACTTCATTAGGCGTCGTTTAGAGGTGGCTGAATGCATATATTACCTTTACAATGACTTTCGGCGGCCTACCGATGTATCGAGCCAGTGCTGCTATCCTCCCAGACAAGTGTGGCACCAATTTGCCGACCTCGGAAGGATAGAGGGTTTGATGGGCCATGGGCGCGGGATTGATTCCGCGTGTGTGTTGCAGGACGTCTTTGACTACTGAGTCACACCCGCCCCTATGATCTAGCATTATTGAACAAAGTACAAAAGTGCTCAGGTACTCATCACTACCGTTGTCTCTTCTCTGTACCATAAAGCATTGATTTTTCGTCGACTGCCTTCATTGAACGTTGTACTTGTCTTATCCTAATTTTGTACAGGTAAATAGAAGCGTGGTCAATTGGTCCCTCTGTTACCACGATAACCATTCCCTTATGATTTATCCTGGTTTACTTACAGTTTTTAAATCGAACCTGCACTATCGACATCACAAATGGGGAGTACTGACGTGACACCATTACAGCGCATTTTGGGTATCCACCAGAGGAGAATCCGAGTAGTGCAACAGGAATAACTAAAGACATGGTTTTTAAAGTTGATCTAGAGTAAACGAAGGCCATAGAGGAATACGTCAGTGCACTTATTGTAATTTGGATCATCGAAAGTCCGCTTCTTATTTTAAACGATCCAGCAACGCTGAACACGCTACCATCTCATTGTACCGAGTGAACTATTCCATTCAATGAGATGCCATTTCATAACCATTTCTTCGCAATCTGTGGGAAAAATATGCACAACTCACTGATCAGAACAACATCAAAGGCATTTCCTACAGGTGGAAACACTGTGACCAAAATGAAGAGGAGGCCAGAGCCAAGCAAGGCAATCGAGTTGAACAAGCGCAGCTTGCTGATCTCGGACAAACAACTGAGACGATCCGATGCCAATCCGGTGGTCAGTTTAATTAGCAGCTGAATTGTAGAGTTCAAAAATGTACTTAGCGATACTTATTTGATTACTTGAAGAAAAATACATGAGCAAGTCATCTAGGATATATGACGAAACGCAAAAAATGGTTCAGTGTTTGACAAAGAAATCGAACCTGTGCTGCGAGAGGTGCAATAGTCAGAAATCCAGCACTCATTGTGGGAAAGCCGAGCACATAAGAGAGATATAAGGGTGAGTACGAAATGGTAAACTGGGCTACAAGGAAGCTGCCGATGACTGCGATCCAGATAGCCCAGATAAACGTGGAACTGACGATGCGCCGGAGGGGAGGCTGCAACAAGGACGTAGTAATGGAAAGAAGAATAATGTTCAATGTCGAAAGTGAACGAAGATAATATTCGTTCCTTCCGCACTTAATTTCAAAATTTTAAAGTTGAAATTTAGTTTTTTATTCCGTAAAAATCTTCTAAGGAAATGTAAAAATAAAGCATTATTTTACACGACCCGATCGATGAAGATGCGGTTGTTGGAACCTCTTTGATTCTATTACACCTGTTTCCTCGCATCCATTTTCCATGAAGGTCTCCAAAGTTCTGCGCAAGCATTTAATTACTGATTAAAAACTTTCCTGACCTTTTTCACCTGCTGCTTGAGGATTTTTGATCTCCTTTATGAATGTGGTTGAACACTGGTCCATTCGATTATCCTTGGAATCACAGTGTTAGGTTGCTCCCGGACCTTCATCAAATGCATTCGCTAGTGCTTTTGGATTGCAGGCAGCGAGTTCACCGCAGATAACTCTGATAGCACTAATCCAATGCCGACGTTAGCAGAAAGCCGATCTTGGGATCTGATAGCACTTTCGCGATCGCAGAGGAATAGGGGGGAGGGGTTTGGATGGAACGATGCGGAGTCGAACTCCGGTCTTGCGCATATTAAACGGCATAACTAGAACTACCAAATAAAGCATTATTGGAACCTATATATGTCCTAGGCGCGTGTAGCGTAGTGGTCGAAAGCTGCCTGCAATACAAATGGGATCTATCTTTGCCCCCAAGGCTCACCAAGCCTTCCATTCCTCCCGGATCAGCAAATTGGTATCGGACTTGTCTGGGAGGATAGCAGCCTGACTCCATACATCGGTAGACTACCGCGAGTTATTGTAAAGGCCAGATATGCATTCAATCACCTCTAACATGCTTAACGGAATCGGACGCATTGCGCATCCCCAAGGAAGTGGCCAAGGTAGAGGGCATTATTTTCTTTTAAATATGCCTTTAAAGCAACAGAGCGTGGCCTCTTCTATAAATCTGCGAAGTTCTCCACTCTTCATCTACTCTAGTGTTCGAGAATTTATCGGTAGCTATCGGAAAAGCAGCACGGAAGAGACTGCGTTGAGACTTCATCTATGCAAACATAACTTCTTCAATTTTTATATGACTCGTCTTTAAGCACTGTGTAGAACTTTTTTCATTGTCTCCGTACAGCTTTTTTCTCCAACTAGTTCACTCGCATTCGTCATGCACGAGCGTCTTCGAGTTTTCATGTGGATTTGGTTGCTACTTAAAGACTTTGTCTTGTCAAGAATGCCGTTAAATATTGGTTAAGCGGTGTTCTCCTGCCATATATAGGCGTTCCCACGTCTTCACCATAGGTAGTACTCTCTGTGGATCGCAGCGAATTCCTGCGAATTGGTAGTAACTCGTTGACATCAAGGGGTTGGCTGACATAATGGAGTTTGAATCAGCGCTACCATCTGTGTGTTTCACGGCATCTCTAAACACATCTATCCCGCGCTCATCTTCTCGTTAACAATACTGCGTTTTTCACCAGTATAGAGTTGAAGGAATGTTTCGAAAATAAAAAAAGAAATATTTTAAATGAATTATTGCAATGCTATGCATTTACCGCTGTTTTTTCGAGCAGTGGCGGCTTGGCGAAGCCTATTTTCTGCCACTCGCGACCGGTTACGAATGGGTGCTTTACCGGCACGTCCCTGCAAAGACAACAGAGCTGCAGGCTTAAAATATGAAATCGATTTACTATTCAATTCACCTATAATATACAGCCCAAAGGATGGTGAACAATCCGCAGAGGATCGCATGGAGATAGAAGACACAGTCCCAGCCGACTTAAACAGTTATAATGAATAAGTGGTTCATCTCAAGATGCTATGTTAAAGCTGACAGCAGTCAGTGTTGCACTAGTAGGATACTCGAGATCAATGAATGACTGCACCTTTGGTCGCGACGAGTCCACTAATCGGCATCGTGAACAGTGCGGAGAGCTCCACATATCCGGAAAGAACGGCCACAAAGAGGCCCTTCTCCGCCGCAGTGGCCCATTCATTCACCACACAGCCGGCCACGGGGAACGAATTCGAAATGGAAACACCCTAGACGAGAACAATGCGATACTATCCCAGTTTTTGTTTAAGAACGGGTAGCAGTTTAACTTGAGCGTTTATTAACGCTACTCCAGCATTTTTGGACCTCTTATTTGTGAGTTATTAGCTTTTAAATTTTAAAATGGTTTGAGGTGATGGTGTACTAAAAGTCCCCAGCAGTTAAGTAGTAAAGCAGTGCTGCAGCCTGCCTCCAGGAAAGTTGTCCACGCCGAAGAAGCGAGCTTAGCTAAGTGAACGATCACAATTGAATGATTTTTCTAGCTTACTGATTATTCTTAGTGACAAGCAGTAAACTCCTTTTCCTCCGAGTTGCAAATGTATCGACTACGGGTAAATAAGACAAAGATTTGTTCGCGTAACTTTACAGGAGTGCAGCTCAAACAAATTTGTACAGAGAGACCATTTGATCGTTGCTCCTACCCGATCGTCTTCACTAATCAGATAGAAAATCAAAACCGAAAGATGGTATAACATCAAATAGAGCAATGTGACAGTGACTCACGCTTACATCCATCGTAAACATTCTGAAGACTGTCAAGCCCGAATCTCCCAGTTCTGGGGAAGATTTTATGAATGATCTCCAAGACGGCTGACCAAGAGACTCACTGCCATGGAAGAGCAACATACGGCCGCTTTGTATGATATCGTTTGAGACGCTCAAGAAAACTTCCACATTTATTAATAAAAGAGCTCTTCCGATTTTTTAAAGCATGACCCATTATGACATTTACTACTCGGATCCCAGCATTTCTTGCATTCGATTCGTTTTCCTCGCAACCACTGTCCACGAACGTTTTCAAACATTTCACCTGCTGTTTCGGTTGCTGGTCGGGGATCGTCTTCTTTATGGTTGTCGTAAAATGCTGGTCGAGTCGATTCACCTTGAAATTTTGGTGATAGCCGGGCTAAGACATTACCACGTGGATTCCAGGAAAACGTTGAGGAATGTGGAGAATAAGCACCTTCATTCCTGATGGATTACACCACTAACCACTGCCTTATCCCTCCTCCAAATTTCATCACACCCTATCGTCATACTATTACTTATTATCTTAATGTAATCTTAATTATTACTATGTTGTAATTACATTATGTTCCCATATTGTCATATTATTATATATTGCTATACTACTGTATTTTATATTCTATTATTATTTATGTTTATATTATACAACTGTCCTCCCAATGGTTTACCGTCTCATTGTGGTTGGGAGGTGTTCCTGGGTGTCGAGCTGCGATGTACAGCAGAAGATTCATCTCCCCAGAACTGTCTCTCAAGGCGAGTCCAGCGTTTCCACCAGGAAGCCCACCTAAGAGTAAACCAATGCCACGATCGACCATCGTCCTGGTATGAAACTAGTCGCATGGTGACAAATCTCCTTCTGATCGAGAACGGCGGCGACTATCTGTGGTGGTGACGACCTGGAGCGGACTTTGGCTGGACTCACCTCGCGACTCCATGGAGCCGCAATGGCTAAACGGGGAAAACTGCGAAAAATTGGAAATTATGCTGGAGGTCGCACAGTCAGTGAGGACGGGCCACCCAAGCACCTATGCATCCAAATATTATATTATTGTGTCACTATTTTGTGATTAGAGAGTGGATAACACAGTGGGTGGTAGTAACGTTGGTCATCACGAGCACGATCATTTTACTCAAAAATGTTTATTTGTTACGAATTTTGCGTCCAGTTGATTCAGTAACCATTATTTAAGTACACTATTAGAATTTTTAAATCCTGAAGTCCAGCGCCGCTTCTGGATCTGACCAGAACTACTGGCTACTTTTGGCCATAACAATTAAAAAAGGATTGAGCTCTCGGCGTTGATGAATCCGTGAGGAGTGCGCCATGCATTCGACTTCATTAAGCATCACTGGAGGTGATTGAGTGCACATTTTGCTTTTACAATGACTCGCGGTGGCCTACTGATGTATCGAGCCAGTGCTGCTATCCTCCCGGACAAGTCTAGTACCAATTTGGCGACCGCGGAGGTATGGAAGGCTTGGTAAGCCATGGGTGCGGAGATTGATCCAATGTGTACTGCAGGGAGCCTCCGACCACTGCGTTACACGCGAACTTTTGCCCATAGGAGATCCTACAACTCAGTATCTCTCGCCAACTTCTATTCGATTAGAGTATTCAAACAACTGCACGCTGATTTTTAGGGCTATTTGAATCGGTCACCAACTCACCAACGAGACAGTGCAATTTCCCATAGAGTAAACAAATGCTCCTCAGTAACTGTCACCACAATGCATACATATTAATTAAAAAGGTCAAAAATAAAGGTAAGGCAAAAAAACGCAGATGGCAAATAAGTTAAAGACCGATAGTTATAAGGGAAAGAAGTTCTGATTTCGTGAATAAGATTACAGAGCTAGAAGCAACGAAATCCTATCAGGAAGAGTATTTGTAATCAACTGTTTGCAACGTGTAGAAAGTGCTGATAGAATCAAACAAACCGAGATCACTCTGAGCACGACGAAGCACGGGAATGACCAGCTGACAATGACGGGAGTGACGGCAGTCGCAAAAGTACACACAATCCCAACGACAGTCATCACCTTGTGAGCACCGTAGCGTTGTAGCATCTCGCTCAGCGGCAAGGTGGCAAGCATCGAGCCCGTGAAACCACCTGGTAAAGAACATGTGATTATCGAATATCTCTTAGCAAGTGGCAAAAATTTCTGGGTAACTAATTGACTATTGAAAACAGTAATGGCGAGCTGCCACCTGAGTTATAAATAAGGCCTTTCAACAAATTATTGAAACCGTGATTTTATTTAATTTTATTTGACTTGTTTTCACGTCTACTGTGCGGATCTCAGCACTTCTCACACTCATTTCGTTTCTTCGAATCCATCATCCACGACGATCTTCCAACTTCTACGTGTGGCATCGGTTGCAGCCAGAGGATTTTCATTTCATCTTGAATGTCGTAGAATGCTGGTCGAACAGTTCTCTCTGGAGTCCTGAGATAGCTGAGCTGGAGCGTTCCCAGTTGTACTGCAGAAAGTGATTTTTTTCCAGGCAAGTGCGGCACCAATTTCCCGACCCCGGAGGGATGGAAGACTTGGTTGGCCCTAAGCGGAATCGAACTAGCACGATGTACTTGATGACGGGCAACACTACTACTATGCTATCAGCCCCTGAAATCGTGATTAAATAGTTGAAGTTTAATCCTCTTCCGCCATTTTTCGATCTCACAATGATTGTTAATCGTGTCCGAAGAATGTCCCTGACCGTCGAACTGTGATATATAACAGTACACAGCGAAGGGCTCATCCAAGTCCATTGAGGTCTCTTAAAAGAGATTCAACAAAGCTGAAAGTAAATTATTGCAAAATATCACCTCCATTTCTACACAATCTAATTACAAGGTGTTGAAGTTTTCTTTAGTCCACAAAGAACGGTTACTATTTGTAGTCAAACGCTAGAAACGTAGTAACATGGAATGGTCGGAAATCCAGGGCGAAATCTATTCAACCAGCAATCGACCAGAACGCTGAATACTGGAAACTGCAGAGAGGTAAAGATCTCGTATTGTGTAAGATGTGATCGATACCAGAACAAAGCAACATTTTCACGATAGGCCATGGAGATCCTTTCTTGTTCTGCACCGACGTCATAGCAGTTTCCTCAAACCGTCGTGCTCACCCCCTCAGGCTACATCGAATGATTCTGCAATAGATGACCAAAACAACAAAAGCCGACTTGTTGCAATTAAACGGATAAACCATTTGGCGTTGATCAATTCGTCATTGATGTGCTATGTATTCACTCCTTAAAAAATCCTAAAGACCATCGAATGAATATTTGGCCCAAGAGAATTGGCTGCACTGCATTGGCTTACCGATGTACCGAGTCAGTGCTGCTATTCTCCCAGTCTTGTATGGTATCAATGGGCACCGGAGAGTTGGAAGGTTTGGTGAACCCAGATCGCGGAACGGAACCACGGACCAATCCAGTGTGTGTTGCATCTCGTGCAGTGTGCAGTGTCGGGTTTGACATTCTATTCGTGGGACTCAGGAAATTCAAACAATTTCCATTGTAGTGAATAGCCACAGTTTGCAGTCATAGTATTAGTTATTAAGCACTAATATTAAACAAGTAGAAGACTGCATTGTGCGCTACAATAATCGGAGTGAGAACGAAATAGGAGACGTTGCTAAAATCATTTCCAGTGACACCAAATTCCTTTCAGGTTAGAATTAATAAAGTTCGTCGGGATTACATTATTCTTTTTTGATACATTTTTCCAATTTGTTATTCTTTTGTCTTCCTTCCTACGCTCGCAGTTCTGTTCACTATTTCATAGAAAGGGATTATTAAGCATGGTTAAAATCTATGGAAAAGTTCACCACGTGTACAAGAATTTGAATAACCGAATTTAAATTATTGAGAAAACCACCGGAATATTACTAACCAGCAAAGCTCAAACTCTTTTCGACTACTCCAAACGTGAATCGACGATCCCTAATAGGCAGATCGGAGCTAGCCCAATCGGTCTGGTTGGAGACGGAACCATTGTAGAGCGGCGATGTTGTCTTGTCCATCATCGCGACAAAAGTGGCGTTGAAGGCGATCAAACTATAGTTTTACGCATCAAAAGGGAGTGTTACAAATCACTAGTAAAGAAATGCAAACCTAGACATCAAAAACGAGAGAAATAAGAGGCACAACACAAGAATACCATATCTGTTAGCGCCAGCACATCCACAAAAAATGCGACGATTTTCTATGAACTCGGTGGAAGACGACGAAAACGATGACGGCGAAGTGACGGTTTTGTCTGTCGACATGTGTGAGGAGGTTGTTTTGGAAAAAAAAACCAATGGCGACGCTTTATATGCACGAAAAGCCGATGCCACACCACTGATCACAGATCAGCGAATTACCGTTATGAGTACCGGAATTGTTCGAATGATCACATAACATGGTCTCAGAGTCGAAGAATTACTGGTAGCATCATCATAAAGGTCCAATAACAAGTGGCTTTTAAATTTAAACCGTTCATTATCTATTATACTCTCACATACTTGATACTTGAACGACCCATCCTCACTAGTTATGCGGAGCCCAGCATAATCACCACTTCTCGGAGATTTGCTGGCTAAGCCATTGTGGTTTCCTGGAATCCCGAAGACAGACTGGTCAAAGTCTGCCTCAGGTCGTCACCATAATAGAGAGTCGCCGCCCTTGTGGATCAGAGAGAAATTTGCCACCATGCGACATTGATACCAAGAACGGTGGTGGATCCTGGTATTCGTTTACTCTTATTTAGGCCTCCTGATGGAAACGCAGGGCTTGTTCTCAGCTTGGGAGACCGTGCCGGGGCGACGAGTTCCTCCCCCGCTGTACATCGCAGTGCGACACCCAGGAATTTCTCCCAGCCACGATGAGGCGGTAAACCGTTAGGAGGACCTCCACATAACAAGCCTGTATTTGGTAGAATTTAGCAAAAATGTTTCAATCTTTAATATGTAATGAAGCATAGTAACCACGTATGCTGTTCATCTTAAAAATCGTAAGAGGTCAACCTATTCAGAAGCTCTTAAAGTTTCATCGTATACGATAAAGCATTCGGCCTTGATCAATGCCCTAAAGTGTGTTTCATTGTAAAATAAATTCAGTGTTTTTAGATTTTAAAAAAGTCTGGTGTCGGCTTCTCCACTTTAACTCTGAGGGCGGGATTCAATCACCGACCAAGTGCATCGCAAGGGTAAATCTTCCCACCGCGCTACGCGCATGGGAAGTACAGGAGGAAGAAAGACATTGAAGATAATGTTAACTTTTTTATTTACTGCAGCCTTGGTTTTACTGGTTTCAATACCGATTTGTGCTCACAGAACATTTCCGTTGACGGGTGATTGCTGATGGCAGTGGTCGAAAGAACTAGCTGAGAGACAGGCGAAACGAAGAACCTGCATGTTGTGGTGGTGAACGCGTTACTCCCCGGAAGGGATAATAGCGCGTTCCTTCCCCACCGCAGACACTTGCGGTCCGAAGTGTTGCAAATATCGCAGCACTATAGAAGTTATATTTTGCAACATACCTTAGACTTTTTGTGCGATATAGCCGTGAATGTGGCTGATCCATGTGATTGACGAACCCGGTTCGTCCCATAGGTGGTGCACCCTCCCTCGAGGTACCTCCCGCACACCGTCTCGCCCTGTCCTTTCGTTCAATAGCCACCAACTCCTTTAGTAAGCTGGCCAATGATCGTCAATACAACCGCTGAAATGTTTACTTTCCAGTGTCTAGCGCAATTTGTTGCATATTACACACTGCATTGAGCACAATTCGCATCCTTTCTTGTGTCTTCCGAAAATGACACACCGAGCAACCTCTTCATTGACATCAGTCTTTATGCCATTCATTCACTACGAATGATAATTAACCGTCAGGGAACCGTGTGTGCGCCACAGAAACGTATAAATATTCTCTTACTACTTTTCCCAGCCCAGATGTCTTTACACCCCCTCATCGGTGACACTCTCCATGTACTGTCAGAGGAACTCGTCCGAAAAAGTTTTCCGCACATTATTAGCTGTAGAACATAGCTTTCTTTCGACCACGTCCTGCCCGAAACTTGTTAAACATTTCCCAGTTATAAAAGATCACCTGTATCACCTGTAGTCCCGTCGGCCTTCGAGTTACTCGAGCGGACGCCAGTAAACCTTCCATTTTTCACTGTCGCGTGCTAGAGTAGCTCAGTGGGTTCTGCTCACTCTAGGGACTCGTCAAGCATCCTAGCTTTTTTCTAGGCTTTTCGTGAAGAACACTGACCATCAAGTCGATGGTCTTCCTGCAGTACGTTTGACATCCCGAGGAATCCAGTTAGGACCTGCTCTTGTCCATCGGTTGTCATTCATACGCATTACGTGTCCCGCCCACCTTAATAGTTTGACGTGTAAAATGACATCTTTAATTTTTGATCATTGACGCAGATCAGAGCTTCGCATCCCATCCCTTACTTGTGTGGAACGGGATACTCCAAGCACCGTCCCTTCGACTGCGCGTTCGATAACGCTGAGTTGTCTTTCATCCTACTTACGCAGCGACCAGGTTTTTGACGCATACGTTAGGGCAGAAAGTACTGTTGAGTCGAAAAGGTGGGCACAGAGTCGGGTGTTCCTTGTTCCCTTCACGATATCCTGGATCTTGAATCTCTGCAAGCCGCTCGTTCCATCCTGCTCAGCTCTGGAGCTAAGTCGCTCATCATATTTCCTGAGCTAGATAGACGTAACTGGAGCATTCGGAGATATTCGTTCCGTTGAGCGCGAATGGGGCATACGAAACCAATCCGTTCCTCATGAACACCGTTTTTTGTGCGATTTAGTCGAATCTTTCTCTAATCTATCTAACCAATCTTTTCACAGGCTTTATCAAAGTCGCCAAGCATACGTTCCGCTTGGCTAATGTTTGGTGTTATAAGGACGATATCATCAGCAAAGCGAAGATGGTGTAACTGTCGACCATAGACTTTTACTTCCATATTATCCCATTCCATTGTTCGCATGACGTTCTGGAAGGTGGCGGTAAATAATTTTGGCGAGAGGGTATCGCCTTGCCTAACTCCTCTTTTGACGTCAATGTTAATATCGTTGTAGAACGGTGATATCTTGGTTGTGAAATTTTTGTACAGCTCACGAAAAATCTCTATGTATTGAGTAGAGACTTCTTGACTATCAAGAGCTTTCATGCTGCTTCTATCTTAATTGAATCAAAGGCCTTCTACAAATCGATGGAAGCGAGACAGAGCGGTCTTTCGTACTCTCGTGATACTTCAATGAGCCTTGTTATCATGTTATGTTATGTTACTTCAATTAGTGTGGATGTAGTCGACCGTACTAAATCCTTTTAGAAACCCTGCTTGCTCACATGGTTGTCCTTCGCTTAGTGTTCTGTCAATCCTGTTTAGGATGACTCGAGTGAAAGGTTTGTTTTTTTTGAAGACGACAGACATCAAGCAGATTGGCTATAGTTGCCGATGTCGTGTAGGTCACCCTTCTTGAACAATAACACGGTCTCGCTGGTCGTCCATTGAGTAGGGACCGTGTATTCAAACAGGTAACGTGTGAAAAGCCAAGCCAGTGTGTTTACGAGGACTCGCGGAAGGTTCTTCAGGTGGTCTGGCCTTATCCTGTACCTCATGCTGTTCGATTTTTCACCGAAGAAATGGCATGTCGGATTTCGGAAGGAAGAACCGGTGGTGCAACACACCCATTCTCCTTAATTTCATAAGGAGGAGGGTGGACGTGGCTATCAAAGAGATCTCAGTAGTATTCGTGAATGATTTTCTCCATTGCCTTTCTGGACGCTGTAACTCTTTCGTCTGGGCGCCGGAGTGCAATCATTTTGGTCTTGTAATTGGCGAAGCTTCGGTGTGAGTGCTTTTCGCAGCCTCTGCAGCTTCGACCATTACTGCTGCTCTTCTCTCTTTAAGATCTTTTTTTATCGCTTCTGTTTTGCAAGTTCGGACGTTAGTTCGTGGTTGCCTGCAGCTCGCGCGATTCCACCCTAGCGTATCAGTTCGAGTGTTTCTGGAGACTCTGGAGACAGACGTCGCTTGGTGACTTTCGAACTCTGAGCTTTCATAGCGCTAGCGTGAAGATGTTGAGTAAGCCGATCGTATTCTTCGTCGATGTTATCGACAACGGCATCTTCCCAACAGCCAACTAATGAATTGAATAAGTCCCAGTTTACGGTGGTTCTGGGACTTCATGTTTTGAATTTAACGGTTTTTTCTCCTTTCTGCAAGAAATAGAATCTTGCACGAAAGAGACGGTGGCCTGATCCCGTGTAGAATTTTGGGTCAACAGCGACATCGGTTAGGCAAAACCTTCTATTTACTATGATGTGGTCTCTTTCGTTATGGCACTCTCCATTGGGAAACTCCCGCGTCCAGCGCTGAGTGTGGGGCTTCTGGAATTGCGAGTTACCATGGATTGTCTTGGTCGTCATGATAAACTCAGGCAGCCGCTCATCCTGTTCGTTCCATTCTAATCCGTGGGTCCCAATGTGACGTTCTTCAGACGTTCTTCTTGGTCCAGTGTTGGCGTTGAAATCTCCAACGATGACCTTGCAGAATGTATGGCCTTCTCTATAGAACTTCTCCAAGTTCATATAGAACGCTTCGATTTCTTCTTCGTCATAGTTTGATGTCGGCGCCTAAACGACGATGACTGTCAAAGCCGGTATTGACCCACATCTTTTTAATTGTAAACGTCCGATTCAGGTTGTGAGCTGTTCGAATGAATCGATGTTCATGGACAAACTCGTGTTGACGAGAACGCTGGCTCAGCCGACTCCTCTACTGTCGCATGTTCCGAGGAACAGTTCTTCTCCGGTGTCGTAGACGGCGTTGAATTGGTGGCGTCGTCACGCCTCGGCCAGGCCGATGACGTCGCACCTTATCCATTTTGCTTGCATGAGCAAGCCTTGTATCGACGAAGACTCGGATGCAAGTGTACGTGCATTGTAGGCATAGATCGTCACCATAGTTCTTTGAAATCCAAGCAGCTTCCATTAGCCTTGAGATTTTAGCAGCCTCTCCGTACTCGTCCTATCTAACGCTGCGAAATTGGGCGCTCTTTCGGGGTCAGGAGAATGAGGCCTGTTTTTTTTTTTTACTGTGTTTAGCATTTTGCCACCCATGTATAGCTTGCTGGGCTCTGAACGTGGAGGGTGGATATACTCACGGGTAGCTTGCCTGGCTGTCCCAGAGTAGACATGGAGCTTATTTATTGCAGACGACTCCTAACCGCCGCCCATATATTTCCCTGTCACTAAATTGCAG